ACTGCGTATTGTTATTGTGTAAGTGATAAGCACATCCAGTAAGCAAATGAAAAGTTCCTGGTTCGAGTCTTGGAGGGGACAAGATTGATTTTCCCCATTTTTTGCTCCTGGAAGTACAATATTTTCAACAAAATCCTTAATAATAATAATTCCTATAATACTGATAATCATGTTAATGGTGATCATAAATAATAATAAATTAAATCCTCTGCGAAAATCTTTGGAAAAAGTGAAAGAGGACTGAATTAGGTTATTAAACCTTTCAATAATGATATCTCCATCTCACTGTTTTTATCAGTACACATCTGTTATTCACAAATTATTTACATCGAATGATTTTTCCTGAGCAAAAAGTAAATGTTTGCTTGACTTTTAAAAAACGAAAAATTTGGTAAGCTTATTATGTCACCATTAAGAATAATGAGACGAAACTTTATGCTGATTCTATCCTTAACAAGGATATGTCATTTATACTCATCATTGCATATGTAGGTAATGTATTCTTAGACAACTTTAAGACACTTCTTAAAGATGTCTAAGAATGATGTCTTCTTAGACTTCTTAAAGATGTCTTTTTAAGACACTTCAGTGTGGGATTTCTCAAAGACAACAGCTTCATGTATGACATCAGAAACAGCAAAGAAGTGGAAACTCGATCTGCTTTTCCTCAAATAATTTGAAGCTTCGGAAACGTTCGAAATCTATTGTACAAGTCCAGTTTATAGTGAAACCCCTCATGGCAATCACCTGTGAAAGAGGATAATTAATAACGGTAACTTAAAATCACTGATAGTTAAATTCACTAAGGCGGCCTTTCTACCATAAACCAAAGTCTTCTAGAACCGTCTTGGGGAAGTTTTACTTTACCTTTTTTATTCACAAAACATACAAAATAAATAAAACGCGGATACCAACGTCTTTGATATGACTTATTGGTGCGTTAGTATTGCCCGCAGACGACTGTACTATCATTAGGCAACGAATAAAACTGGCTTCGGGAGAAAAAAAAAAGGGAAATAAAAAAGAACTATGAATGGCATAAAATGTTGAGTTGATGTGGACCAACGAATATTGTTGGAAGTAAACATAAAAGCGTTATTCAAGTAGGAGTCATAGCCTTTGTAAAGACGTATATTACAGGAAGGAACAAAGAAAGGCATGGAGGGAGGAGAACTCGTGTTTAAACATTGTATTCAGGAGAGGCGTCAAACCCGCTTACGACTCGTTTCATAGTCAGGTGGCTCTGCACGGCGGCTCAACAATATGACTTCCGTATTCATATCCTTTTGTAGCGACATGGATGCCTCCCTGGAAAATGGTTTAGTTTAACGCCAGATTTATGTTCGCAGGGCCGTGATAGGACATTCTAAAACAGAAAGTTCCTGGAAGTGCCATTATGCGTTTTTAAAAATAAAAGGGAAGGGAAAAAGAGCGTTTTTTATTGTCATACATGTTCCGCCTATTTTCATTAATACTCTATGTGATGATAGCTACTGCAGTATTATTTTATTCTTTTCATCGAAGCAAAAAAAAAAAATTATCAAGAAAAACTGATTGCTCGTCATTTCGGCAGCAGTCCAAACATTTGTCACAAACATTTTTTTTTTAACCTGCTTTGAGTATCGGTGCAGGCTGGCTGCAATAATTGTCATGTGGTGAACTGTCGTCCTAACAACCACCGACTATTAAATTTTAGCATGGTACTTTTACTAAAATATTTAATTTGCATAGATGGATGAATAAATAATATAGATATATAATATGTAAGTTTTAAAAAGATATGTATGATAAAATACTAACTGTAATTTGCAACAGCCCCTTCCCTATCCTTTCTACATTGTTTAATTCTCTTTTCTGTCCTAAAAATAGTAACTGTTTATAATTAATCTCTTTAAACTGCGTCATTTCCAAATTATCCCGTGCCACATGATACTTACATTATGCTAATGACGCAGGTACTTGCAGAACGCTTTAGCCAATAATAATATTAGAATTTTGGGGATTGAAACTTAAATTAATCGATCAGAATGAAGTTAAACCAAAACTGAATAAGTCTAACGCAGGCTTTCGAAGTACTGTTTGCGCATTCGTTTTCTGCCTCTCCTTTCTGCTAGCTTCTTAACTGCAAATACGGCATAAAATTGTAAATTTTGAAAAAGAATTGGTGCATGTCTTTTGCCAGCTTGGCTGTGTGTGCGTTTGTCGAGGAATACAAAGTAAATATGGGCCACGAAATGCTGTTATATTTTTCTTGCATCGCCACTCTCATCAACATCTGAGTTATTGCAAATATGTATATATATAAAAGTAAAATGCAAAAAAAGAAAAAAAATTAGATATCTTATATACTCATAAAACAAAACTTCCAGATAAGAATTCAAGCAGAGTAATACTTAATAGACTAATTAATGAATACAAAATGTTCCTAAATATAAGCCTCGTGATCGGTGGAATTTAGATTTGGAATTTTTGTGAAATCTTTTATTTTTCTTTTAATATAAAAATGCCAAAACAAGAGTAAATGTGCCATTTAAAATATTTTTATAATTGGAAGTAATGTTGCAACGATTGCAGAACTAAAGGCTGCTTAAGGACTTTCGTAGATACGGTGTATATATAATATATAAAAACTGCAAATAACTGGCGACTGGATTATGTAAAAAATTCAAGCACTACATGATGCATGCTAAATGCATTATATATTGTAATCTTTCAACAATGAAAGCTCGAAAAAATTGTTTTTAAGAAAACTGTAAGGAAACAAAAGACCATTTAGCTATGTTTATCACAACTCAGATCTTTTGTTTGCCAGATATTTGTTTTCTCTATCAGTTTTTGTCTTAGCTTTGTGTGCATATTATATACGAGTAAATGATGAAATAGGCTATTGAATGTATTATGTAATTTCTAAATTCCTGACATGTACTTTTTCGGTATTTCTAGGCTACCCGATTCATCTGCAAATATTTTTAACTGTCTATTTACTAAAACGAATGAGCATTTAAGTGGAATTGCGGAATTCAAGCGTACTTTGTTCAAGGGTCAGCTGTGACTAAAAACAAGTAGATTTTTCACGCTTAGTGTCTGTGTTATATTATCTTTAACTCAGTAACATCACACATCACTTCGCTGTCATCAATTTTTATGCCATTTAAATCAGTAGCAGCCTCTTCTTTAAAATAGTAGCGGCTGTTAGTGTGTTTAAAATACGTTCTAGCTTCCAGAAATTTTCATTTGGCATTTATATACGTATATATGCGTATGCGCCAAAAATTAACAGAAAGATGAGAATACGAAGCATTTTTTTAAATAATATTGTTAAACTGAAATACGAGCTTAAGTGCCTTTAAGAAAGTCTTATACGAAAGCATTCCTTCTAAATATGCAGTTCATTAGTTTTTGGCCGTAATATGATTCTTACAAATTTACTTTAATTTTAAAAAAGGTTTTCCGTGTAGATATATACTATGTTGTTGTAAAATGCAATTTTTGGATTGTTTGAAGTGTAAAATGCAATGTTTGCAATGTAAAATGCAATTTTGTAATGTAATATGCAATGGTTCCAATTATTCCTAATAGAATCAGCAAACTAATATATTTTAAATTATGCGTATTTTTTTACTTTGGTCGTAACAAAGTTTTTTTTTTTTTAATGATTTTATCTGTAGTCATTATGACGAATGCAGACGTGTGACATGTGAAATTTCTTTTTTTCGGTTTTTATCACTTTAAATGTATGTAAATAAATTATAGTTTAGTAGTAACTTGATGAGTATTTTATGTCATTAGTGATGTTTTTGCTATATATGTTTATTATATTTTTACTTTCTGTTATCTGATTTCTGATAACTAGATTATTTGCCTGCTTTAATACTAAATTATTCTTTTCTTTGAACTACTTTCTTATCTGTATGTTAGCTACAGGCATAATATTAGTTTTTCATTCAGTTGTAACTAATTTATTTCGATTGAGAATCAAAGCCGAAATTCTCGATTTCAAACGAGCAGTCTGAAAAACTGGTTCAACTGTTTATTTAACTCTCATTTCATTTTTTTTTTTTTTTTTTTTTTTTTTTTTTTTTTTTTTTTTTTTCTCAGTCGAGACAGTTCAAAGCTCTTACATTTTCTAATCTAAAGCGGGAAACAATTCCTTCCATTTGAGTGGACTGTCTAGATATAAATCGTTTCAGCTTAATTTTGAAGTTGTTTCCGATTTAAGAAAACATCGGATAATTTATAATTAATCAAATATCGGTTTGTTTGTAAAAGGCTTCAAGAAGCTGAAATTAAATCTTTTGTCAGAAATGAATCTCTTATACGCAGATTTTGTATGTGTCAGCTTTCCGAAAATGTTTATCTATATTTTTTTTCTTCTTTATATGCCGAAATATATAGTTTTTAAGGGGGCACAATTTTTGTGAAACTGAAACTCTGATTTTAACAATCAGTTATTTTTATATTAATTGAAAACAATTGAATTATGTTCGAAATTTTTTATGCTTTTATTAATACGTTAATTTTACCTTTTATTGAAATTTTATTATTACTGTAATAGTAATGGAATACAATTTTTAAACCATTATTTAAAGATGATGTGGGTATTGTATTATATAACTGAGTATAAAATCATGATTTTTGCAATTAGCTAAGTTTCCAATAATATTAATTCATATTTATATCACTGTTAAGCCCATTAAACGCATATATTTCAATCTCATAAGGCTTTAGCATCCGATTAAGACTATCATAGCAATATTAAAATTTTTAAAGTCCGATTATTTTTAATAAGATTATTTTGAAAACTATAAGTATATTTTAGTTATAACAGAAAATTTTTTTATAGTCAGTAACTTGCGTAATATCATGTAGGTGTGTACCGTAAAAAATACGCAGTAAGCGAAAAGAGCATTTTTTGCTGTAAACATTCAAAAGTGCAATTTAGATTTCATTACATGGAAGAAGGACACACCAAGTAAAACTGTAAGTAAAGTAAGTGTTACCTTATAAAGTATTTTCTCCCTCCTTCCAATATGCCTTCGTGGTGTAACACTCGGCGCGTATTCGAGAGGTCCAAGTTCGAATCCCGGCGAGGACATTGCACATTTTGCATGTGTTCCTGCTTCCAAATAACCTAATGTCCATACAACCTTAAGTAGATTTCATTTCAGCGATTGAACGCCATAAGCTGCAAGGAAATGAAAAACAAATACTAAAAGTCGAAAGACAGATCAACTCATTTTCGAGAGCTTACAAGTAGCTAACAACGACATCTTCTGTAATGAAGATAAGGGAGTGTTAATTAATACTCCCTTAGAATTCAGTTTTATCAGAATTATAGAGAATAAATTAAAACGCGGAATTTTTTATTATTATTGTTATTATTATTATTTGTACGCATTTCAGTTTTCAGTGGAAGAGTGCTCAAGAAGATTAACATCTGTGTTCCTTTGCTTCCCTTAATTTTGACAGTTCTGAATCTTATCTCTGTCTCCTATATCTTATTCACAGTTTGAATAAACAAAAATCACTCAGCAGATTGTAAATATCTGTTTTCTAATATTCTGTAAAAGAAAGAATATTATAGGGTTTATGTAGAACATAAGTTATGTTGATTTGGCCTGATTTTATATGCAGGAAAACTAATCCTGATCATATTAGTAAGTCATGTTCGTTCAGATTTAATAAGTAATCTAGCGGAAGTGTGCGAAAACAAGTTTTCCCCAAAATTCTTATTTCGCCTTTTTAAGTTTCGTTCGTTTTATTTGAAAACATTTAAAGGAGGAAAAAGAAAAATAGGCTTCCTATTTAAGTAGGAAAATATACAACTCCCTCTAAACGTGGAGCGCATGGAACATAAAATGTACTCACTTTATGGAACCTTTCGCGAAAATAGCGCTCGAAAAAATGGCTTCAATCATGTTTGTTTCGAAGCAGTTTCGAGGCTAGCTTGAGAATGTCAGCATACGACGTGAGATTACTTTCAAATTGAAAATGGATGAACAAGCGCGGGGGCGCATTAGCGTCAAATATCTACGTCATCGTTCAGTTGCAAGAGTGAAAAAATAAACTTCCCAGGTCGGAAAGTAACTCTTGGCAATAATACGTTAAAGAGAAAACTTTTTAATCTGCTGAAAGGCAGGAAGAAAACTGACCTAAAAGCGACTGACACAAAAGCAAACAAACTTACAAAACATTAAAGGGGGACGAAGAGGGAAAAAAAAAATAAGACCATATCAAAGCTTCATGATCGCGGGAAATGCAGTTTCTTCTTTTGCAGGGTTTTTTTGTTTCGTTTTTTGTTCTTCTTTTCTTTATCTCCCAGCCGCTATTTTGCACGTGAAAAATGTATACCTCACATGATTGCGTATTGGCAAGCTACTTAAAAATTGAGGCGACCACCTATAAAAAGATGAGTGCAAACCGGTGTTTGCTGCATTAGGAAAGTGACAGCGCCAGAGTCATTTTATCTGGCACGTGCAATGATAACCCATTGTTGCTTGCCTCCCTCCGATGAGAGCGGATGCAACAATGCGTGAGCTGCCGCCTCTCTAGCTTGCCGTCAATGGGCCCATTTTCGGACGCCGCTTCGACCTCTATTGGTGCCAACCCCACCCCTCTAACTTCATTGATCATCATGTCCTCGCTTCAGTCCCGGCTTGTATCAATTCGCTATTGTCTCGAGTACTACTGCAATGTTTTATAATAAAGTTAGAATTGAAAGAAAAAAAATGAAGTTCCCATTACTTTCATCGACGAAATTTATATGTCGCACAATTTAAACTTATGCGAGATTGGTATAGTATGTACCTTAATTGTAGTATTTTAAGACTGAAGTGCAGTTTTATAAGAAAAATATTTTTTGCAGTAATTGCTAATATTTTCGCTGCTTGTTTATTATTGATAATATCATCATTAAAATAATAACGTTTGAAACATTTCTACGTTTGGTTAACTCTGAAACAAGTTAAAAATAATTAAATATCTTCTTTTCTCCCTTTAGGTTAAAATGCTTCTTTTACATTATAATCGCTTGTCAGATATTCATATTCATATAAAAATAACGAGTCTCATATGAGTTGGGCTAGGTACACTTTTGAAATATCACTGAAAGAATATTACGTCCCGATTTTTCGGAAATACTCATTATCAGGTAATGGGAAACTGAACAAGCACTAGCATAAGCTAACATGTTTGGGAATCGTTAAGAATGCAAGATAACTGCAGAAGGTCATCTGGAACCATATATCGTCCAAAAATCAATAAGGAAACTAGAGAAAAGTAAACATGGTTTTTAAAGCCGAAATTTGTTTTTTTTTTTTTTTTTTTTTTTTTCATGAAAGAAAATTGATGGAGCGGAAGTCAAAAGGTCCCGCTGTTAATAACAGGAAGTGCAATAATCCGGGAAAACTTCAAGGTAAAACAAGCACTTAGATTAAAGCTCGAAAAGTTATTCACGATTGCCGCAAATCAGCATGCGTTTTCTAAATGGAAACTTTTAGACAATATCCAAATTAACAAAATGATGGGGAAAAGATAAACTAGACTAACTGAAATAAAAATTAGAACTTAACCCTCGGCATAATGTAGACGTAATATTTCCATAGCATTAAATAATGATTTCAAGATTTTGCTACAAGCATCTATCCTTTCAACTGCTTTCGCTGACTGAGGAACCTGGAACTAGAAACAAGCTGCGAGTAATTTCTGTTTAACTTCGAGATCTGAATAATCTGACCTTAAGAGTTATCGGTCAAATATTAATTTCCACTGGATAAGGGAATCTAAACATACGACTGATAGATTTGTTTTTGATACTAGAGAAAAGATCACAGGCTTCTCATTTGAAATTCATTCCTCATATTAAAACGGAGACCCATGTAACTTTGAAAATTACTTATTTATTAAATGCTATAAATTTTTTAAAGAATGGTTGGATTTGAAGCTAGTCTTTGTTTAGGTACTTGTAACAAATATATGTTAGATATAAACATGCATATATATAATTATTATACGCAATATATATAGGTATAATTAACTGAAATAGGTTTATTTGCACATATATCTTGCCATCCATGAGACCGCCGGTGCCTGTCTGTTATTAAAATGTAATATGCCGAGTGGCTACAGATTCGAGAAACACTCATCAAAGTTTGTGTTTGGAGGAATATTTCTCTACTTTTATGTGCATATTACCTCGTGAATGCATTTTCCAAACTGTTTCTTCCTGTGTTTAATGCTTTAAAAGCAATGCAAGTATAAGTGATTAAATATTTAGCTGAATTTTAATATTTTCTGTTTATTGTATTTTTTTTTTTTTTTTTTTTTTTTTTTTGTGTGTGTGTGTGTGTGTGTGTGTGTGTATCTGCTATTATGCCAGTGAAGATTTAAAATCATATGTTGTATTACAAAACCTTCCTCTTTTTCTCCTTTCCCCCCCCCCCCGAGCTCATTCTGTTTCAGTATAAATTTTTTAAGATTGCATAGTTCAGTGCAATAAGTAGAAAATGACTTTTCAGGCTCAAAACACTATTTATTTATAACTAACGATTAACAGATATTCGAAATTTTATGATACAAATAGTTCACTTGTCCATTATTTTTTTTTTTCCTTTAAATTTATTTTTACGTAATTTGCCCTTAGAATGAGTTTGAAAAAATGACAAAAATCTATATTTATTCGTGTAACTAAAACTATTCGCAAGAAAATCTTATATGTAGCTTTAATTTTCTTTTATGAGCTTAAGCAGTTTGAAACAACAGATGAGTCCATTTTCACCTGACACCTAAACCGAGACGCCTTCTTTGACCTCTCTGGCTGCTGGAGAGAGGAAGCACTTTTTAATTTTTTTCAACAGACCATTTTTTATTTCGTTTTCATGCAAACCCCTCCAATGCACAGGAAACGACGAAGAAAGAATTCGGTGTCGCTTAAAAATGCGATTTTTAATTTTATTTTCCCTATGCTTATGCTCCTTTTTTTATGGGCACAGCGTGTCTGGCAAACTGGACACATAATCGATTGTTATTGCTGATCCGTGTTCCTATTAAATCTTTCCTTCCCTCTTCCATCAACAAAATGGCATATACTCAAGCACAGCCGCTAATGCATTTCATTCTGCTTTTCTTATTATTTCGAAAACGAGCTCCCAAGATTTTTGTGAAGGCTTGTCACTTTCGATAATATTACTCGATCTTAGACTTCCATTTTGCATCATTGACTGTTTCGGTAAAACGTGCTTAGCGACACACACACGTGAAAAGGAATGACAAAAATAGTTATTGGCACTTTGTCTTTCTTTCGCTTGCCCCAAAACTGCTTCATCGTTTTTATTTTTTTTTTTCCTCCTCCGCATTTTCTTTATGATTTTTGCATCATTTTTTGTCGCATTTCGATTTTTTCACGTTCTTGCGGTGTTATTACATTTTCCTGCCGCGAACGTAGATTCCCTTCTTATTGCTCCAACACTTTGGAATGAAGTGAAAAAAATGAGAACTGATCTCACGTGCAGAATGAAACTGTAAATAACCACGAAGCATTATCAAATTTCACCCGCAACGAAAAAGAAAATTTTATTTCCGTTTTCGGACCGTTGAATAGCTAGAATAGAGCCCCTCGACTGCTGTAAAAATTAAAGCTGTAATTATTTGCTTCGAAATGATGCTTACTAATGCAAATAATTATTTTACCCTACTTTACTCTCCCCACAAAAAGTATATTATCATCATTTCCAACTACTCGTCATCTATGCACGAATAAGAATTACAATTTTAGAACATGCGATAATTTACACAATAATTACAATCGTTATTTTTTTTCTCTCTGCTATGTTTAAAGTGCTAGAATGTTCAAAAGATATAACTGAAATTACTTTTTTTTTTCACAAAGCGGGGAGAAGTCCTTATTTTTAGAATCTGGAAACTCTTTGAGGAATTAATGATTATTACTATCGTAAACTTAAAAAAGAAAGAAACGTAAACAAAATCATGTACTTTTCCACCTTTTGAGTGAAATGTTTGAGGTTTTTATTGTTTATTTATACTTTTATTTTCTTTATTTGTTATACCACATCCTTTCGTTGCAGCTGTTAGATTCTTTTCATAGAAATGGAAGTTGAAAAGTCATTACTTTTCATCTTAAACATGAGTCATAATTCGCGCTGTGCCTAATTTTATGCCATCGTCCAA